ATGGCTCAGTGGTCTAAAGCACCTACTTGGAACAAGCTTGGCAAAGCACAGGGACCGCGGTTCAATCCCCCAGCACCACATGCCAGCCAGCCCCGCCCCCAGGTGGGCTGAGCTGGCCACACACACACACACACACTAAAGGAATAAATAAATAATTAAAAAAAAAAAAAAACTTGGTTACTACTACTTCTTTATTTTTGAGACAGGCTGGCTCTCAACTCACTGAAGTCATTCTGCCTCAGCCTCCCTCAGCAGGGATTACAGGTAAGTGCCACAATGCCCAGCTAGGTTGCTAATTCCTTCTTATTGTTGTTTTTATGCGTTTGGTACAGGGTCTACAGGGGCTCACTACACAGATTGGACTCGTAGTGATCCTATTTTCAGCCTCCCAAGCACTAGGATCACAGGGATGCACCACCACGCCCAGGCTCAGTCACCGCCACACCTAGTCTCTGTCGCAGACTCAGCATGACCTGGGGCAGAGCCAACATGGCACGCTGGGGATTGAACCCCAGTTGCTGCACTCTGCCTCAGTAGGCACTTTAGTCTACATGAGCTATCTGGTCAGTCCTAGGTTGCTAGTTTCTTAATCCAGAGAATATTTAAAAATACTCTGCAAGGGCTGGCAAGATAGCTTAGCAGACTAAACACCTGCTTTGGCAAGCTCAGGGACCAGGCTTCGCTCTCCAGCATCACATGCTACCTCAGTCCCACAGGGACTGGGTGTGGTGGCGCAAACCTGTAATTCCCAGTGCTAGGGAGGCTGAAAACAGGATGATCACTACAAGTCCAAGTGCGTAGTGAGACCCTGTGACAAATACATTAAAAATAATAAAATATAAAAAAATACTTTGTAAGGGGCTGGGGAGATGGCTCAGTGGAATAAGCACTTCCCTGGCAAGTGCAAGGGCCTGAGTTCAATCCCCGGTTCCCGCAAAAAAAAAAAAAAAAAAATACTTTGCAATTTTCAGGACTGAGAGTACAGCTCAGTGGCAGAGGGCTTACCTAGCAAGCTTGAGGCCCTGGGCTTGATCCTCAAACCACAAAATAAAACAAAATAACCACAAAAAGCTCATTAATTTTTAATGTAAATTAAGAGTTAAATGATGCCATTGAAACTTGACTATTTAACATAAAAACTTACGTAATCATACTTTGATCAAATCTAATTTTGCTTCTCTTTAACCTTTAATAGAACAGTTTGTTAGAAAAGGTTCCTCTTTTTCGTCCACTGTACGAATAAGACTGTCAGACACATTCTGTCATCACGTGCAAACTAGAACGCCACAGTCCAGTACAGAGAGGAGGCACCAAGGTGTCAAGCAGAAAAGGAGGAAAAAGCTCCCGCATTTCTTGACTTCAGGGTACAGCACTCTGCACAGTTCAGAGCCAGACAGGCAGCCAGAGGCCAGGAGCACATGCCCCTACGAGGCGGCGCGTTTCCACACTCAGCTCGAGATTCAACAGAAACTGTCCATGTACTTAGAAGTCAGGCCATTCGGCAAACTCCAGCAACCTAAATCTTTTTTTTTTTTTTTTTTCTCCCAGGGGAGGGGACAGATTCAAAGGCAATTCTTTTTTTTTTTTTTTTTAAATATTTATTCTTATTTATTACATTTATTTATTGTGTGTGTGTGTGGCCAGCTCAGCCCACCAGGGGGCGGGTCTGGCTGGCATGTGGTGCTGGGGATCGAACTGCGGTCCCTGCGCTTTGCCAAGCTTGTTTCAAGTAGGTGCTCTAGACCACTGAGCCATCTCTCCAGCCCCATCAAAGGCAATTCTTAATAGTTCATTCTTATTCCAGGATATGTAAGGGGAAATGTGGTAAGTAAAAACTGAAGAGTTAGATGTAATGGTCTAGGCCTATAATCCCTGCACTAGGGAGGCTGAGTCAGGAGGTTGAGGCCAGTCTGGGCTACACAGTGAGTTCAAGGCCAAGCTGAACTGCATAGCAAAACCTTATCTAAAAAAAAGGGGGGGGCGGGGAGATGGCTCAGTAGAATAAGTGCTTGCCTGGCAAGTGCAAGGGCCTGAGTTCAACCCCCGGTTCCACAAAAAAAATAAAATAAAATAAAAGTTGGGCAAGAACATGCAGCGCAGACCAGGAAGATAGGTCAGTATAATAAGCACCTGCCTGGCAAGCCCAAGGTCCTGAGTTCAATTCCCGGTACAAGAAAAACAAAACAAAGAACATGCAACCCTCCAAAATGGAACTGCCTCTCACAGGTGGCAGAACCCTGATACAGGCACGTGAACCAGAACCTTCCTGAAGCAACCAGCAGGGCACCTGAACAGAGAGTGGCAGCAGTGTGTGGAATGAGCTCAAGCTCACAGGCTGTGGTGCTCTCTAAACCAGTGCACTAAATGGGTCTCCTCAGCTCCTGGAGACTGGCCGAGGACCTCTGATGGAGAACAAAGCACCACAGCGGAGCAGCGCCCTAGAAACGCAGACCACAGGGACAGCGCGGCCCAATTTCCCTTAATTTAAAAATCCCACATAAGGACAACGTTAGAAAGTTCACTGCTAAAACTTCATTCAGCTTACAATATTTGTAAATAACACAGCTGACATGGGAGTATCACACTGCAAGGGCATTTTCTCTTCCTCTCTGGAGCTGTCTCTGGACTTCTGTGCTACAGTGATGTGGCCACGCTTCCGAAGTCACAGCGGCAGTGTGTCACCTAACCCTGGTGCAACTGAAGTGGCACAATGAGCAGCAAGGGATGAGCACCGCAGCCCCGGACGTCAAACTGCGGGCTGGCACGTGGTTCCGAGCACAGGAGCTTACACAAAAGCAGCTAAATCAAAACACAGCTTAAGCAAAACAAAATTCTTAGATCCACAATAATGTCAAAGAGAGGCAGGCCTGAGGGAAAGACTGAATTTTGGATTTCTGGAAACCCCAAAGTGAGTGCCTTCCACCACTCTAAAGGAATGTCTCATTGCAGCACTCAATCCTCCTCCTTCAATAAAGTGTATGAAAATAATGACAAGCCTTTTAGGGGACACAGTGAAATTCTTCCTCACACCTGCAATAACTTCTGCCTAAACACTGTCATCATTCGCTGATGCACCCTTAAAGTCTTCATATCAACATATCCAATATGATCGCCAAGTAGACCTAACGGAAGAACCCTATTATGATAAAATACTATTGTTTCCTTCCTCTTCCGGCAAATTCTTCTATAAGCCCTTCCACAATCTTCCTTTTGAAGAACAAACTTAGTTTCCACTCATTGCTGCCTTGTACAGGCAGCGCGAGGGCCAGCGTTACAGCTGCATCCAGCCTCTTACCAAACGGGAAGTTGGCGAGTGATAACCCGGCACGCAGGATCCCAGAATGGACACAATGCAGACTCACGAAGTACTCGCGGCGCGCACAGGTGTCTGCCGCCCGCCCGTCGCGGCACCCGCGTCCTAATTAGCATTTCCTTAATGCTGATAACAATCTTGACCGTAACCCTCCAAACGCACCGCAGAGACCAGCGCTGAAAGCGAGAGAAAAATCGCCAAGGATCTCAAACTTTTGTTTATATTAGTTCAATGTAAGAAATTAGCTGTTTTCGCCTCACTCAGCTTCCACCGAGGCTCCTCAGTCCGGCCCTATTGTGTGCGGTTCTTTAATACAACAAATAGTGAAATTGTTGGCGGGATCGGGGAACCCCAACTGGGTTGAATCCTCCCGGTGGAGCAAAATATTCCCCATTTGCCCTCGGGATTGAGTTGTCAGACACTGACTCGCGGTACCCTGCGAAACTGACATGTCTATTTACAGCGAAACAAAGACGCGGCTCCAAGCCGACCCCGCTCCCTCCGCGCGCCCCGTGCGCTCCGCGCGCCGCGTCCGATCCGCCCGCCCCTCGACACCCAGCCCCGAGGGTCCTGGCCGGGAACCGCTGGTAATTAAAATGGAGATGGGGCCGGCGTCCGGCCACCGAAAAGACAATGACCCCCGAGGCCAGCAGGGTGCGGTGACCAGCCCGCGCCCATCTCCCGCAGTTCCGACTCTTGGCAAACTCGGCGCGGGCGGGTCCGGGTGCGGCTCGGCTGCGCGGGCGGAGGACTCGCGGGGCGCGCGGGGTGCGCGGACGAGGGGCGCGGGACGCCCCCGGGGCTGCCTCCTGGGGCCGGGCGTTGACGCAGCAGAAATTACCAACTGGAAAATTCCCCTTTCGGAGGTGACGGGGGAGGGACAGTGGCGGCGGCCGCGGCGGGAGGTGCCAGGGGGCCCAGGAGCCGGGCAGCCCCGTCCCCGCCGCCACGCTCAGCCCCGCAGGGACCGCGCCGCCCA